AGCGTTCTCACCCTATGTTGCTTCGTTCCCACGCGTCTCGTCCTCCCCGTTTGCCTTCGTCTCCTCCGTCGTCGCTCACTGTCGTGCCTCCCCCTCTATCTGACTACCTTCGTGCTGCTCGTCCTCTTGTTCCGCGGGTCCTTGCCTCTCTCGTTACCGACCCGTCTGTTCCTGTCTCCAGTCTTGACGCTCTTGTAGCTGCAGTTGTTGACTTTGCCTCTACTCGCTGCCTTGACTTCGCTACCGCTCTGGTCTCTGACCCTGTCTGTCCTCCATCCATCGGGGGTGCTCCTGCCCTCGGCAGTGACGTCTTGGAGGACCGGCAGTACAAGCTTGCTTTCCTGTCAGACGCTGCTCCCCATCTCTGTTCCTTGCTGCTAGTCCCTGAGGGTCACCCCGACCCCTTTGACATCCCGACCCTTCGCACCTACGCTGAGGCGACCTCGGGACCCTGGGCCTCTCAGTGGATAGCTGCCATGGAGCAGGAGATGGCATCTTGGAGGGCTACCAGCACCTACGTCGATGCAATTCCCCCACCTGTGGTGAACGTAATCGATGGCCGGTGGCTCTTCAAGGTGAAGCGCCCCCTTTCGAGAGCCGCCTGTGTTCAAGGCGCGCTACGTCGCTAGAGGCTTTAGTTAGCGAGAGGGGGTGGACTTCTTTCAGACCTTCGCCCCGACCCCGAAGACGACTACTCTTCGGGCACTGCTATACGTAGCAGCACAGCGTGACTACGAGCTTCACTCCCTCGATTTCTGCACTGCTTTCCTTCACGGCAGCCTACACGAGCATGTCTCCCTGCGCCGTGCCCAGGGCTTCACCGGTACTTTCCCCCCTGGGACCCAATGGCTCCTCCGGCGCCCCGTCTACGGCTTGCGACAGGCGCCCCGTGAGTGGCACGACACACTGTGTGCCACGCTAGCTGGCCTGCAGTTCTTTCCCTCCTTTGCTGACCCTTCGCTCTTCGTTCATGCTGGCCAGACACCGTTCTACATCCTGGTCTACGTAGACGACCTGGTCTTTGCTACAGCAGATAGAGACGCGCTGGCCTCTGGAAAGGCTGAGCTGCTGAGATGACACACCTGTACTGGTTTGGGAGAGCTGCACCGCTACCTTGGCCTGCAGATCTCTAGGGACAGAGCAGCGTGCACAATCACTCTCACACTGTCACACTTGGTGCGCCAGGTCCTTCAGTGGTTCGGTCTTCAGTTCTCCTCCGCACAGCCCACAACCTCTGTCGGTAAACCACATGGTCTCAGCTCCAGTTCCTGAGGAGTCAGCAGAGCCCAGTGGTCCTTACGCAGAGCTGGTGGGTTGCCTCATGTACCTGATGACTTGCACTCGCCCACATCTCGCATACCCTCTCTGCATCTTGGCCCACTTTGTGGCCACAGGCAGACACCGACCACAGCACTGGTCGGCCGTTAAGACGGTTTTGCGTTATCTTGCAAGTACATCGGGCATGGGGCTAGTGCTGGGAGGACGCAGGCCAGTGGTCCTTACTGGGCACACAGACGCTTCTTGTGCAGACGACGCTGAGACCCTCCGGTCCTCCCAGGGCTACTGCTTCAGCCTTGGTTCTAGTGCCATCTCGTGGAGGTCCATCTAGTGCCATGGCAAGCAAGAAGGTCAGCCAGCGGAGCTCCTGTGCCGCCATGGCACCGGCGTAGATCTCGGCCTCACAGCTGGACTGGGCGACAGACGAGGAGCGGGTAGCTCTCCACGAGACGGCACCTGAACCAAGGCTTAAGCAGCAGCCCTACGAGGACCTGAGTGTGAACAGGCCAGACACCGGGTCCCGGGGGAACGTAGCGAGTGGAGCACCAGTGGCTGCCTTAGTACAGACAGCAAACCTCTCGTGACCAGGGAACGTAGTGGTGACGCCAAGGTCCTGAAGGCAGCCAACACCAACTAGGTTCCTGGAAGACGAGGGGATGTGAGCGAGCACGAAGCAGCCGTCGGGCAGGGAAGGGTGGTAGAACTACGAGCGACTACCGGGCTGGAGGAGGGGTCAGCAAAGCAAACCGCAGCAGGAGCAGCAAGCGGGGACAGCGTAGTGGAGTCGCGGAAGAAACACCGGGAAGCGCCAGAGTCCAGGGTGAAAGTGAGCGCAGCAGTGGCGGCCGGGGTCGAATAAATGACGGAGGAACCTAGGCTAAACAAGGCAGGAGGTCCTACGCCTGACGCAGCAGGGGGGGCAAGACTAGGCACACCTACACTAGGCAACACGGGGTAGTAAGAACCAGTCACACTAGAGTCATCAGCATACAGCACATACAGGGCAGAGCTAAGCTCATCCATGTCCATATCAAAAATCAGAATACTACGGCGAAGCCAGCTGAACCAGTCGGGGAGGTCGGGAGATGGGCCGAAGCGAAGACGAAACAGGTCGTCAAGGCGACGGAAGCAGCGAACAGGGGAGTGACCGGTCTTACCGCAAACGGAGCCTCAGCGAGGACCGGTCAGGAGATGGTACTGGTAGCATCCGTCACCTGAACTGCCACCCGGGACCACACCACGCGCACGTCCACCACCACGTCCACCAGCGCCAGGCCACCCGGGCGGGAGACCACTCGCCCGCCTCTGCTGCTGCGGCTGCTGCGACTGCGGCGGGTGCTGCGACTGCTGCGGCTGGAGCTGGGGCTGCGGCTGTGCGTGGTGCTCGTCCGGCTGCGACGGCTGCGGCTGCTGGGACGGCTGCTCGGCGACACCAGGGACAGTCCCCTCATCTTCGCCACCACCAAGCGTCCCAACTCCACTACCACCTCCACCTGCACCCCCACCCCCTCCGCCGCGCCCAGCCTTGGGGCGACGACCCTTCCCCGGACGGAACTGTGCTGCAGCAACAGTCTCAGCTACAGCAGCAGTCTCAGCCACAGCAGCAGAACCGTCGGAGAAGGTGCACTGGGCAGGGCCACAACCCTGAAAGATAGGGACCGCCACAGTACTGCTAGTTTGGGCGATAGAGCGGTGGCGGGTCTCTATGGCAGACAGGGTGTCGACAAAGTCGGTGAGGGTGAGGTCACCGGGGTGGACGCTAAGGAAGCGGTCGCGGGCAGTGGCAAGACGGTCAGGGAGGCGGGTGGCTAGCATGTAGAGGGCAGAGCAGAGGGGCGGCTGATGGGCTCTAAGCTGGGTCTCAGTGCAGGCAGAGCGCCAAGTCGCGTCTATCGTGCGCAGATGGGTGGCAAGTTCAGCGACAGTGGGGAAAGACGCAAGGTCAGGGAAAAGCATCGGCACGATCAGGCGACCTACGGAGGCAGCAGGCGGGGTGGAATAGCGCTGGACAACAGCATCTAGGAACGCCTGCGCAGTCGTGACGGACTTAAAGCGAGGGCGCTCAGATAGTGGGAGGGCATGGCTGATAGCAAGCTGCACAACAGCGTCACTCGACAGCCAGACAGAGCGAGCAAGGGCAGCAGCGGCAGTGGACTCACGCTCAGCAGACGAGGGGTCAGCAGGCAGCGCAGCAGGGGGGTCACGACAGGGAAGCGTACCGTGAAGGTGGACAGACAACGAGTGGCCATCCTGCCGCTGACCAGTGAGATGGCGGCGGAGGTCGACCAGCCACGTGTCAAACTCAAGCGGCTGACCCTCAGCATCGAAGCGAAGCACCTCCGCCATCAGGAACGATGCAGAGAGGTGCAGTGCGGTGCGGTACTGAGCGGTGCAGTGCGGTGCAGGGCGGTGCAGTGCGGTGTAAAAGCGGTGCAGTGCGGTGCAGTGTGGTTCAAGGCGGTGCAGTGCGGTGCAGTGCGGTGCCATACGGTGCAGTGCGGTGCTGGACGGTGGAGTGCTGTGCAAAGCGGTGGAGAGCGGCTCCGGGCGGTGCAGGGCAGTGCAGATCGGAGAAGGACAGACCGGGCACGAGTCAGAGACGGGCCGGTGGCGTAGCGAACCCGGGGCCGGCTAGAAGAGGGGGCGGGGCCGACGAGGGACGGGCGCGAGGTACCGGTGAGGAGCGGGCACGACAGGGACGCGAGGGGCCGGCTAGGAGCGGGCGCGAACGGCCAGGGCGCCGGCTAGGAGGGGCGCGACGGCCAGGGGGCCAGCTAGGGGCGGGCACAAACGACCAGGGGGGGCCGGCTAGGGGCGGGCGCGAACGGCCAGGGGGTCGGCTAGGAGCGGGCGCGACAGCCAGGGGGCCGGCTAATAGCAGGCGCGAGCGGCCAGGGGGCCAGCTAGGAGCGGGCGCGACGGCCAGGGAGCCAGCTAGGGGCGGGCGCGACGGCCAGGGGGCCGGCTAGGGGCGGGCGCGAACGGCCAGGGGGCCAGCTAGGGGGGGGCGCGAACGGCCAGGGGGCCGGCTAGGAGCGGGCGCGACGGCCAGGGGGGCAGCTAGGGGCGGGCGCGAACGGCCAGGGGGCCAGCTAGGGGCGGGCGCGAACGGCCAGGGGGCCGGCTAGGAGCGGGCGCGACGGCCAGGGGGCCAGCTAGGGGCGGGCACGAACGGCCAAGGGGGGGGGGCGGCTAGGAGCGGGCGCGACAGCCAGGGGGGGGGGACGGCTAGGAGCAGGCGCGACGGCCAGGGGGCCGGCTAGGGGCGGGCGCGATGGCCAGGGGGCCGGCTAGGGGCGGGCGCGAATGGCCAGGGGGCCAGCTAGGGACGGGCGCGAACGGCAAGGGGGCCGGCTAGGAGCGGGCGCGAAACGGCCAGGGCGGGCCAGCTAGGGGCGGGGCACGAGGGCGGCTAGGGCCTAGGGCGGAAGCGCGGGCGGGCGAGAGGAACCTAACCTACTCATGATACCATAGTAGAAAGAGAGAATGACTAGAATAGGAAGATACAGGGAAATATAGACTAGTGTGCTGTACCCTCTAAGGCACAATCCTGTATAGTCTACAGTAACAACATAAGTTATGTTTTAACAAAACCATGTGTGATGGATGGAAAGATGCTCTTTGAACGTATTGCATAGCCACGTCCCAACCAGCCTTCTTCTACCTCAGTATTTGCTTTTCCTTAGGGGTGTACCGTGTATCATACAGATTAGAAGCCCAACTTGAACTGAAATTGCACTGCACCACACCTCAGTTCAGTACTGCAGTTCCAACCACCACATCACACACTACATCTGTCGGGTTGGAGACTTTTGAGTCGACTCGAAAGCCACCACACCAACGGAGATGGTTGCACAGCACAGCATTCCTTTTTCATGCACCGAGGCTTCATGCGCCCCCAATGCCTTTTCATGCAGAGAGGAAGCATGCTATCGGTACATTTCATGCAGGAAATGCATTGGGGCTCGGTTGCGGAGTGGCTGTCAATAGCATTAGAAGGTGGGAAATATACAGGAGAGTAAGTGTACTGTACTGTACTGTAGTGGTGTGGTGGTGTAGTGTACTGTACTGTACTGTACAAGCGCGCTAGCGATACATTTCTAGCTGGAAGTTTGCAAGATTGCACGCAGGCGGAGAGTGTTAGTGTCTGGCTGCAAGGGGAGGGGTATGGTGCATGCATGGGCTACTTGAGAGAGGCATGCGAAGCAGGTCCTTGTGCGTGCGTGGCCTCCATTCCTCTCTCAGGAGAGCAGGTGGTGGTGTGGTGTGGCGTGAGAACCACTCTAGTCCACCTGCTCAGTGCTCACCCACTGACAGGGCTATCCGAGAGAGGCGTGCAGGTCCTTGTGGGTGGCCTGGTAGCGGGGGAGGCGGTAGTGCTGTCACAAGTGGCGTGTTCACCAGTGGCGTGGCGCTACAACCTCCGAACCGCAGCCCCCTGCTCACCCACTGACAGGACTATCTGAGAGAGGCGTGCAAGTCCTTGTGAGTGGCCTGGTAGCGGGAGAGCAGGTAGTGGCCACTGGTTGTGGGGGGAAACCTGGAGTGTCATGGGGGAGGGCGGTAGGTGGATATGCGGGGAAAAGCGGCGAGTGGGTGGTGTGGAGATTGGGGAGGTGGGAGGAGGAGAGGAAGGAGAGATGGGGAGGGATAAGGGCACTTAAGCACAAGCGCATGCATTGCAGTGGATGAGGAGCCTCAAGAGTGAAGTCAAGGCGCACTTATTTCTGCGTTGTTACTGTGGGCCCGTATGTTGGGTTCCACAGTCCGCTGCAGTTGAGTCGACTCAATAGTCACCTCGTTTCTGCAGGCCCATATGTTGGGTTCCATTCCAGAGGTGGGTGGGTGTACCTTGCCGGGTTGGCGGCATCGACTCTGGAGGGCACACAGTCGACGACGCAGTCAAAGTTGGGCTCGAAGAAGAACGGCAAGGACACACGCCCAGGCGCCAGGGTTTCACTGCCGCCCTTGGTACTGCTGCCACCATCACCCGCAGCAGAACCAGCAGCAGCAGCACCAGCAGCAGCACCAGCAGAACCAGCAGCACCTCCACTGCCAGTGTCATCAGTGTCAGCAACGTGCGCAGTGCAGCCTTCCTCCCCATCCCCATCCCCCTCCGGCAGCACGACGACGCGGTGCAGCGTGGAGCGCCACGTGGCGTTGCTCCAGCGCTCCAGCATGTCCCCGATGTTCACTATGAACGCGCCGGGCAACACCGGCACACGCACCCACCGCTGGGGGGCGCTGCTGCGGTCCACACAAATCTGGAGAGAGGCAGGGAGGAGAATGCTTTTGAGTTGGGAACGCGCCGGGCAGCACCAGCACGCCGCTGGGGGTGGCTGCTGCGGTGCGGACCAGGCAGATCTGGAAAGGGTGGGGGGCAGGGAAGAGGAGAATGGGAGGCGGAGGAAGATCAAGGGTGAGTGACGTGGCTTTTTATCTCGACTTTAGGTGTACAGGGCAGCGAGACGAAAGCATGGCCCGAGTTTCCATAACCGCTTTTGAGTCGACTCAAAAGCAGTTTTCATAACCTCCCGCACCTATTCTCTACCCTGGTAGCACTAACCCCTTCTCGCTCCCGTCTTAACACTCATCACCCTCCCCAAACAGTACGCATATCCAACCAGACCTTCCTTCGCTCCCCACACCCCCTCTCCCCCACGCTCCTCCCCCTGTCTTCCACCCACACCTCTAGTTCAGGGTGCAGCACCAGTTGCAGAATTAGCATGACCCAACCACCACCCTGATCCACATCTCCCTTCTCCCTTTCCTATCCCACTCCATCCCAGCTCCCCCACCTCCCCCTCCCCCCCCCCCCACCTCCTTTTGTTCACCTCCAGTCCTGGATGCGACACGAGCAGCAGGGTGAGCATGCCATAGTCCGTGTGTGCTCCCGCCCCCAGCACCCCCTCCTGTGGCCGAGACGCCTCCCCCGAGTAGTGCAGCAGGCGCAGCAGTGCTATCGGGTCGTCAAACCTCCCGGGCAGGTCGAAAAAGTCCCGCGGCTGCCCAAGCGCGAGTGCGAGGATGGGGAGGAGGCGGCGGGCAAGGGAGAGGCAGGCGGTGAAGTAAGCGGTGATGGTGGGGCGGAAGGACGGGAGGAGATCTGGGGGAGGGTGGGAGAGAAGGGAGGGGTAGGGGGGAAGATGTGGAGGGCGGATGCAAGGGAGAAGACAGTGGGATGAGAGAGAGTGGCAGGCAGTGAAATAGGTGGGCTGGAAGGGGGAAAGGAGATCTGGGGAGCAAGGGTGGAGTGGGAGGAGGAAGAAAAGCGGCTAGAAAGGCAGGAAGGAGGGAAAGAGGAAGCGGGAAAGAAGAACTACTTTTGAAGAAGCTGTCTTCTGATTTGCAGCTTTTTGGATTGTTGTGATGGCACAACAAGCATGTGTGTGCATGTGCGTGCGCGTGAGTGTGTGTGTGTGCGTGCGTGTGCGTGTGTGTGTGGGTGGGTGGGTGTGTGTGCGTGTGTGCGCGCATGCCCCAGACCAGAACCTCATCGCCAGCTAGCTTGGTTAGGGTAGGTTTTAGGATTCTCTAAGGACTCCCAGCAGCGACTCAACAGCTGCACTCCCACAAGCAAAGCACCCACCCACGTGTGTGCCGGTATGCCTGGCCGGACCCGCATCATCATCATCATCATCATCATCATCATCATCATCATCATCATCATCATCATCATCATCATCATCATCATCATCATCATCATCATCATCATCATCATCATCATCATCATCATCATCATCATCATCATCATCATCATCATCATCATCATCATCATCATCATCATCATCATCATCATCATCATCATCATCATCATCATCATCATCATCACCACGCCATGTGATCCACCAACCAACCCACCTGGGCTACCTCAACATTTTTCGAGGAGCCTACAAAATCGCCCTGCGAGGCACCAACCCACCTGGGCTACCTACCTCAACGCGCCATGGCTTCCCCTCGCCTTGTATGGTCCAGTTTGTACCTTGAGTTGAGTAAACTCATAATACATTAATCGCACCCATACCGCCCACCGCCCACTGCCCACCTGCCGCTGGCCACACATTGGGTCCGTGCAGGGGCTTGGCGGCCCTGGGGTCGTCGGGGGGGATCTCCACCCCGATGTAGTAGCCCTCCTTGGTGTCGCCCCTCGCTCTCTGCACCTTGGGGTCCAGCACCTCCTCCTCAAACGCCGTGTACCCGCGGTTGTTGCTGTCCTGGGGGGAGGGAGAGACAGGGGGGTGGGGAAGGGGTGGGGGAGAGGCAGGGTGGGGAGGAACGGGGGAGGCAGGAGGAAGGGAAGATGAATGTGAACCCCAATGTAGCAGCCCTCCCTGCACCTTCGGGTCCAATACCTCCTCCTCGAACGCCGTGTACCCGCGGTTGTTGCTGTCCTGGGGGGAGGGAGAGACAGGGGGGTGGGGGAGAGGCAGGGTGGGGAGGAACGGGGGAGGCAGGAGGAAGGGAAGAGGAATGTGGACCCCAATGTAGCAGCCCTCCCTGCACCTCCAGGTCCAATACCTCCTCCTCGAACGCCGTGTACCCGCGGTTGTTGCTGTCCTGGGGGCCGGGGGGTGGGTGGGACAGGGTGCGGGAGAGGAAGGGTGGGGAGGGGAGACAGGAGGGGGGGAGGGGGTAGCAGTGCTCCTTGCACCTCGGGGTCGAATACTTCCTCCTCGAATGACGTGTACCCCCGTACACAGTGGTGAGGGGCAGCGGTGAGGGGCAGCGGTGAGGGGCAGAGGGGAGGGGCAGTGGTGAGGGGCAGTGGGGAGGGGCAGTGGGGAGGGGCAGTGGGGAGCCAAGGACAGGAATTGGCACCTTGATTAGCAGAGCAAGGAGGGCTCTGTTGCCACCACGCCATGTCCATCCATGCCGGAAGGGAGGAGGGGGAGAGAGCAGTGCAAAGCCAAGTAGGGAATGAGGAGAGAGGATGGCACTACTGTTTGTCGCTCCACAAAATCCCCCCCCCCCAAACCCCCCCCGACCCCACTTTCTGTCCACCAACCCCACCACCCCTTCCCCCCCCTTCCCCTCCTCCCCTCCCCTTCCCCGCTCCTCTCCCTTCCCCCAACCTGTCGGACGGCAGCCTTGGCGTCGGGTGGGAGGCCGAATAAGAGCCGTGTCTGGTGAAAGGCGTCGGAGATGAGCTGACGTGGCACGCCGTGATTGGCCAGCAGGAAGAATCCGACCTCGCGGCATGCCTGGAGGGGCAGGAGGGAGAGGATAGGCCGGGGGAGGGGGGGGGGAGCGGAAGGGGGAAGAGAGGAGGGGGGGAATTGGGTGGATGCAGGGGGGAAAGGCGGTTTGAGGGGATTGACAGTGAGATTCAGGACGGGAGAATCGTACAGGGGGCTCAAGCAGGGGGCTCATTAAGGGGGTTCGAACAGGGGGCTCAAGCGGTTCCCCGCACCTTGTCCACGGCGGCGGCGCACGCCGCCTCTCCCGCCGACAGGTCCACCACCGGAATCGCGCTGCCCATTGCTGCGGGCGCCTCGGATTGCATCGCGATGCGTCGTGCTGAGAACGCGAGCAGGAGAAGATTCAGGTTTGCTCGGATGTGACTAAGAGTGGTGGAAATGAGCGCACCAAGAAAATGTGTACTCGCTGCTAGGAAATCCGGTGTATCAGACTATGCTAATCACACAGGTTGGTACTATTTAATCCAAGTTTTCTCATGACCATACACTAAGAGCAATTTCCTATTCTCAAACCAGAAACGCCGCAGCTGCCCACCGCCGTGATGTTATCTAATATACATATTCCTGGATCATACCGCCTGGCATTGCTTAGTTTTTATGTTTGTTTCTACTTCATATATTTGTGTACCCATTTTGTCACAACCCTTTTTACATTACCTTATAGCCTCTCAGAAAATCACGTTTATATTTCATTATGACATAATGAAACATTAATACTGTTTAAAACGCATATGCCTTATCATAACTGCTCCACCATGTAACTGTTTTCCTTAGACATAATATTTTGTATTCTATTGCCTTAGGATTTTGGTTGTGAAATGACGAGTACTAGTCCCAAGGATTGCACTGCAACGGGGGAAGCATTTCCAACTATCACGCTGCCACTTCGTGCCGCGGCGACATCCCAGTGGTCCCGATTTCTGTGGCTCCAAGCAGTCATCGAGCGCGTGCGGGCAGGCAAAACTTTATGGTGACACGGTTTCGCATGCGTTTACGCGAAAATCGATTGCCCCAACCCAACCCCCTGCCAAGTCCACAGAGTTGGAAGAGTAGCGGCGCTTGCCTTTGCTGCCCTGTCAGCCGTCACTGTCCTACATGGCGCCACCACACCTCGGCCCTCACAGTCACTCTGTGCTGGCAGCAGCCTCCTCATCCACAATGCCACGTGATCTTGGGTTGAACACAGCAAAGCGCAACACACACACCAAGTCGCGGCTCAAAAGTCCATCGAGCTTTGCTCGCTTGCGTCCCGAAAGTTGCAGAGCGGCATTTCATGACCATCAAATTTGTTTGCCCGATGAATGCGAAGAGGACCAGTTGAAATCCACTAAGCACACTACTTCAACGCTATGCATCCCTCCAATCGATACAATTAACCAAGTGCCAGTCGCAAAAAAATCGGACGTCGTGCGCGGGTACTCAGTTTCACCAGCATCGAATTTCCCAGCCTCGCTCCCATGCCGCAAATTCCAGCTGCGCGCCGCGCCACATTCCAACCAAACCATCGCCACACCAACCTCCCATCTCATCCCAAACCCGATTCCCAAACCCAATCCATGCACCATGCTCCCCAGCGGCAGCACTTGATTCGAATCTGTAACCAGCAACCATTATTTCATGGCCGCGGCTCACTCACGCGTCTTTACTCTTCACTCTCTCGCCTCTCCAACTTTTGTGGCAACTCCCCTATCTAGAAGCGCCAAGCCCGCTAGACAACTATTTCGCGTTAAAGTTCGCCTGTCCGCTATCTCGCGTATCTTCCCTGTCATCGCTCAGAGCATGGCTCTCGAGGCATACCCGTTCCTCAAGGAGCTCGGCCTGCAGGCCGAGAATCTCGGCGCCTATGGCGGCAAGGCGGCAGGAGGCGAGTGGATGGGCAAGGGTAACAAGGTTACCTCGGTCAGCCCTGCGACCGGCAAGGTATTTTATTCTCATAATGATTTTTTAAATATGATTTTACTTGCTACGGTTCAAGTTTTTTTCCTAGTTTCCAACTTCCTATTACTGCGATTTCATGTTTTATCTCATCGTCGTTTGTTTTCTCCGTGTTTCTACCTTGCAGCCCATAGCGGATGTTGTCGAAGCCACTCTTGACGAGTACGAGACATGCATGGAGGCTGCTGTCGAAGCGCAGAAGCTATGGCGAGAGGTGAGTTGCGTTGCGATATGTCGCGTTTCGTGGCGCTAGCAGGAGGCACCCATGGCAGCAGGGGGCATGCAAGCAACCGAAAATCGCGTGACTGGAGGCAACTTCGAAACGAGCCTTACTGGCGGCTGCTGCTGCTGCTGCTGCTTCTGCGACTGCTCAGTCCACCGCATGCCATGCCGCACTCCTTTCACACCCGCCGTTCCTTTCACTTTCACCATTCAATCCACCAGAGTCCCGCCTGCATGCCAGACCCCAGACTGTGAACCTTACGACACTGCCAGGGCAACGCCGGCTAACATCATCCATCCTTAACATTCTTTTTCCGCCTTTCCACGCTTCCCTTCCCCTCCCCCATCCCCTCCCCTCCCCTCCCCCCCCCCCCTCCTCCCCGCATGCCAGACCCCGGCGCCCAAGCGCGGGGAGATCGTGCGGCAGATCGGCGAGGGGCTGCGCGCGAAGCGGGACGCGCTGGGCGCGCTGATCTCGCTGGAGATGGGGAAGATCCTGGCGGAGGGCATCGGCGAGGTACAGGAGTTCATCGACATGTGCGACTTCGCCGTCGGGCTCAGCCGCCAGCTCTCGGGATCAATCATCCCTTCCGAACGTGCGTCCCCCGACTGCTTGCCGTGCTCAAACAAGTGCCTCCTCGGTTCTCCCTGGGCTTTTCGTGCTGTTTTCGTACTGGGGCTGCCTGCTCTTCCCTGCCTGCAGTAACACCTCTCCGCCTCTGTGTGTGTGTGTGTGCCGTCCTGTGTTGCTCAGGTCCCAACCATTTCATGATGGAGGTACGTCCGATGCCTCGCTGCGCCGTCACATTACATGACATCGCATGACATCGCATGACATAGAGTGACATAGAGTGACATAGAGTGACATAGAGTGACATAGAGTGACATAGAGTGACATAGAGTGACATAGAGTGACATAGAGTGACATAGAGAGACATAGAGAGACATAGAGAGACATAGAGAGACATTGAGAGACATAGAGAGACATTGAGAGACATAGAGAGACATAGAGAGACATTGAGAAACATAGAGAGACATAGAGAGACATAGAGAGACATAGAGTGACATTGAGTGACATTGAGTGACATTGAGTGACATTGAGTGACATTGAGTGACATTGAGTGACATTGAGTGACATTGAGTGACATTGAGTGACATTGAGTGACATTGAGTGACATTGAGTGACATTGAGTGACATTGCATGACATTTGCATGGCATTGCACGGAATTGCATGGCATTGCACGGCATTGCATGGCATTGCGTGCCATTGAATGACATGGAATGACATTGAATGACATTGCATGGCATTGAATGGCATTTGCATGGCATTGAGTGACATTGCATGACACTGCGTGGCATTGGATGCTTTGCCATGCCATGCCATGCCATGACATTCCATGCTGTGCCGTGCCGTGCAAAGCCATTGCAACCCATCCCTCTTGCTCATGAAATTTCTCCTCGTCACCCTCCTCGCAGCAATGGAACCCTCTGGGGGTGGTGGGGGTCATCAGCGCCTTCAACTTCCCCAATGCCGTGCTGGGTACGCTGCTGCCGGTGCTGCTTATCGTCCGATCTCACCTTGTGTCTTGATGCCACCTGCTGCCACCTGTATGCGTTCTTTCCGGCATTCCGCTGTGGCGCATCTCGCTGCATGCACGGAACCCCGAGACCCGAAACCTTCATTCCTTGCGTGCCCTCTCCTCCTGCTGCTGCCGTTGTTCCTCCAATTCCGCATCCCTCCCTCTTCTGTTACCATCCCCTCTCTCACACACACACCCCCTCTCCCTTCCTCTCCCCCACCCCCCCAACCCCCCCCTACCCATCCCCTCCCTCCCCCCGCCCCTCCCCCCGCCCCTCCCAGGCTGGAACGCGTGTCTGGCCATGGTGTGCGGCGACGTGGTGGTGTGGAAGGGCGCGCCGACGACGAGCCTGGTGTCCGTGGCCACCACGCGCATCATTGCAGACGTGCTCGCCAAGAACGGGCTCCCGGGGGCCATCTTCACGTGCGTGTGCGGCGGCGTGGAGATCGGGCAGGCCATGGCGCGGGACCCGCGCATCCCGCTGATGTCGTTCACTGGTAGCTCCAAGGTGCGCGCGGATGCCGTTGGGGGGGAGGGCGGGGATGGGGAAAGGAACGGGCTGCTGGGGGGAAGGGAAGGGGAAGGAATGCGGGAAAGGTAAGGGGATGAGTGGAATGTGTTGGAGAGGGGAATGCAGCAGAACAGGCTTCTGCTGCTGCAAGACAGTGTTACTAGTGGTAACTGAGAGCAGGCTTCTGCAAGCACATGGTGTTTACCTCCAACCTCCAGTGCAACAAGTTAAAGTTTTCGGGTTTAAGGCTTTAGGCCCAGGGTTTAGGGTTTGGAGTGTGCGGTGGATTGTGTGGCATCACGAGTCTGCTGTCTCCTTTGCTGCTGCTTCCTTTCTTGTCTCTCATCTCCCCTCTCCCCTCTCCCCTCTCCTCTCCCTTCCACCCCCCTCACCTTCCCCACAGGTCGGCCAAGCAGTCCGCACGGAGGTGAGTGCCTGTTTCGGCAACTGCCTCTTGTGGAGCTGCGTGGCAACGACGTCATCGTCATCATGGCCTCTCCCCTAACCCCTCCCCCACTCCTCTCTCTCTCCTCTCATCCTTGCATCACAGGTCGGCCAAGCAGTCCGCACGGAGGTGAACGCGCGGTTTGGCAACTGCCTGTTGGAGCTGAGCGGCAACAATGCCATTGTCATCATGGCGGACGCGGACCTCTCGCTCGCCGTGCGCTCCGTGCTCTTTGCTGCTGTCGGCACCGCGGGCCAGCGCTGCACCACGTGCCGCCGCCTGGTGAGTGATGAGGGGGAGGGGTGGAGTGGGTTGGAGGAAGGGGGAATGGAAGGGGGTGGTAAGGAGGTAGCGTGAGTCACAGGCGGATGGGGATGCATGGCTATTGGCACTACCAGAAGGGGAAGCGTGAGTCACAGGCAGGCGGGCGGGCAAAGGCGTGGTCCAATATACTCCGCCAGTATCTGCAATGGGGTCCATCACTGTCATCTCCTTTCGTCTAATGCGCCATTCAAACTCGGCCCGATCTTCCTGCTCACTGTCTTTCTCTCTTCCCCCGCCCCCCCCCTTCTCTCCTCTCCCCTTTGCTCCTCCTTCTCACCCCTCCCCTCCCCTCCCCTCCTCTCCCCAATCCCCATGCCCTAACTGCTTTCCTTCCTGTGTGCTCTATCCGCCCTCTCCTCCACTGTCTGCTTCCCCGTGGCCCCTCCCCGCCCCCCGCCCCTCCTGTTCGCGCCAGTTGGTGCACGAGGACGTGTACGACGAGGTCATTCGCCTGCTCACTGCTGCGTACAAGCAGGTGAGCATTTAGGCTCTGGGCTCTGGGCTCTGGGCTTTCAAGGGAAGGAAGTGCGGTCAGCCATGCCTGCTGGTTGTCGACTCCACACAGCTTATCACCCGTCACTTCCTCCTGTCCTTACTTCCCCTCCCCTCGCCTCCTCTCCGTGTCAGTCACCCACCCTCTCCTCAGTTCCACCCTCCTGCCTCCCCCCACCCCACCCCTCTAGGCGGTTCAGAATGGAGGTCACCCCGTGCTGCCCACCATGTTCACCCGCGCTGTTCTTAACTCTCTCGCATGTGTCCTGCGCCCCTCTCCCATGGCTCCCTCCTCCCCTCCCCCTCCCCCTCCCCTTCTCCCTCCCTCCCAGGCGTTGGAGAAGATTGGCGACCCTGTGCTGCCCACGACGCTCATCGGCCCTCTGCACACCCCTGCTGCCAAGACGCAGTTCCTCAAGGGGCTCGCTGACGTCACTGCGCAGGTCAGCAGCACCTGCTGTGCGCCGCTGCTGCTGCATCCGCTTCTTCTGCTTTGTCTGCAGCTTCCACGGCTCCCTCTGCTTGGTTCCTTGCCGCTTCCCCTCCATCTTCCACCACACCTTTGCAACCCCTCGGCAGAACCCTAATCTCCTCACTCCCTCTCACTCCCTCTCACACCCCTAAACCCCACGTCTCCTTTCCATCCGCCCCTCCCCGTGCCCGTCCTCCCTGGGCCACTCGTGCAGGGAGGCGAGTTCTTGGTGGGCGGGGTGGAAGGAGCAGGGGATGTGGGGCTGGTGGGCGGCAACTTTGTGCGGCCGGCGGTGGTGGCCATCAAGCACACAGCGCCGTGTGTGCAGGAGGAGCTCTTTGGCCCGCTGCTCTACGTGCACAAGTTCAAGGTACCCACCGATCAAGGTCCCAACACGTGTGATATTAGTTTCTCAAGCTCACGGTGCAGAGGCTCTCAAGCTCTCTCTCTCTCCCACTCGCTCTCTCTCACTCACTCACTCTCGTTGTCAATCACACGCCGCTCACTTTCTCTGCCCTGAGTCTGTGAAACCGGACATTCCCTGGTACTAACACTGCTTGCTATTCCTGAATCCCCCTTGAAACTTTTGATTTGACTCGGACTCAACTCTAAGAGTGTTCTACCGACAGACCCCCTTCCTCTCCCCTTCCCCTAAACCCTATTTGAGCTGACTTTTCGTCTCTCCCCCCCCAGGCGTTGGACGAGGCGATCGAGATCAACAACAGCGTGCCGCAGGGCCTGAGCTCATCCATCTTCACCCGCAGCCCCGAAAACATCTTCCGCTGGACCGGGTACGCTGCACGCTGCTGCCCTGCAAGGAAGTGCTGGGGGTTGGTTGCGGACATGAGGGGGGTAAGAGGGAAAGGAGAAGTGCCTTATAACTGCCTTCCTTCTCATATTTCTCCCCTACCTTGTCTGGTTTCTCACTCCACCTATCTCCATCTTTTTCCGCCTCTCATCCCTCCCCCCCCCCCCCGTCTCCCCCTGTCTCCCCCATTCTCCCCCATTCTCCCCCCTCCTTCCCCCCCAGTCCTAGCGGCAGTGACTGCGGCATTGTGAATGCCAATATCCCCACCAACGGGGCGGAGATTGGGGGTGCGTTTGGGGGCGAGAAGGCAACGGGAGGAGGCAGGGAGGCGGGCAGCGACTCGTGGAAGCAGTACATGCGGCGAGCCACATGGTGGGTGCACGGATGGGGGGCATGGGGGGTGGATGGGTGGGCATGGTGGTGAAGGGATTGGGGAGGAAGGGAGGTGGGCAGTCACTTGTGAAAGCAGTACTACATGCAGCGAGCCACATGGTGGGTGCACGGACGAGGGGGCATGCGGGGGTGCATGGATGACGGTATTTTCTGAGTTGACACATGAGTTGTGGACGTATTACATGTGGCGAGCCATATGGTGGGTGCACAGATGGGGGGGGAATGGGTGGGGATGGGTTTGCATGGATGGGTGGGGGGGATGGGTAGGGGAGGGTTTGAATGGACGGATGGCAGGCATGGGTGGGTCTTATTATCTGCCACAGCAATGGAGCGCCCTTGTGCAGCAATGTTTCTTACTGCTGGCTGGAACCTCGTTGGGTGGAAGCAGTCTAAGTGCGGGTGCTGTGTGTTGCAAAGTGGTGCAGTGTGGTGCATGGTACATGCCCCTTGGGGCGTAGCCCTGCCAATCCGTTTGGAGAGGGGTCCAGCAGCATCCTGGATGTCTATTGTCCCAGGATTGGAGGAGTCTCATACCCGTAGTGTGTGCTGTGCCTGCTTGTTCCAGCTGCCTTTTCTGTCATCCCCCATGTCTTCCCTTCTCTCATCTTCTTCCCCCCTCCCCACCCCCTCCCCCCCCCTCCTGCCCAACCCCTCCTCCCCCTTTACCGTGCAACCCCCTCCACCTGCTCCCAGCACCATCAACTATGGAACAGACCTGCCTCTGGCGCAGGGCATCAACTTCGGAGACTAGACCATGACGACTGAACCATGGTGACCATACCCATGCATGCCCACGTGACTGGCCTTGCAGCAGAGCTGGCAACGCGTGCAGCTGAGCTGTCATGTGCCACCTGCATGACCTTGCTACCCCGTCTATTGTTTCCCACCCACCCACCTCCCTGTGGCACCACCACCATCATCCCCTCTCCAAGCTGCACCTGCAACCACACTACCCGGCCCGTCCAGCCAATACCACCGCTGCTTGCTGTAATAGCAGTAGACCAGAGGGCTTTATTCTACTGCTACCATTCCGCCTCTATTAAGAGTCGACTCGCCATCTCTGCTGGAGAGCCAGACCTGGGAACTTGTTCCCCTGGTCCGATTCCCTTTCCCCCAGTGCTGCCTGCATCAGCCATGGTGCCTGCTGCTTGTTCAGAGCTAGCAGATTGATTAGGTATGTGTGCTAATGGTATGGGTTGTTGCATAAGCCTCAAGCGTGTGGTTGCATCTAGTAGCCATCGTTAGCTTTGTAATAGCTTCTTGATTGCTTTGTTCTGTTTTGCGTGTGGTTGTGGTTTTGTAAGACCTATTGCAGCTTTTGCCCTTGCAATGAGAAGAATGAGTGCTCAAACTAGGGTGTATTCTTGGGGATGGATATCAGTATTAGACAAGTTATCAGCCGAGCGGAAAAGCAATTGCACGAGCGTGATAGATCGGCATAAGAGAATTGGGTTGGTGGTGTGTAGTGTCACGAGAGCTAGGTAGCTAGGTAGGAGTGTCAAACATAACTTATGTTGTTACCGTAGACTATACAAGTCTGTGCCTTAGAGCGTACAGCACACTAGTCTATATTGCCCTGTATCTTCCTATTCTAGTCATTCTCTCTTTCAAACATGGTATCATGAGTAGGTTAGGTTCCTCTCGCCCGCCCGCGCTTCCACCCTAGGCCCTAGCCGCTCTCGTGCCCCGCTCCTAGCTGGCCCGCCCTGGCCGTTTCGCCCCCGCTCCTAGCCGGCCCTCCGGCCGTTCGCGCCCGTCCCTATCTGGCCCCCTGGCCGTTCGCGCCCGCTCCTACCCAGCCCCCCCCTGGCCGTCGCACCCGCTCCTAGCCGGCCCCCTGGCCGTTCGCGCCCGCCCCTAGCTGGCCCCCCTGGCCGTTCGCGCCCGCCCCTAGCTGCCCCCCTGGCCGTCGCGCCCGCTCCTAGCCGGCCCCCTGGCCGTTCGCGCCCGCCCCTAGCTCGCCCCCTGGCCGTTTGCGCCCGCCCCTAGCTGGCCCCCCTGGCCGTCGCGCCTGCTCCTAGCCGGCCCCCTGGCCGTTCGCCCCCGCCCCTAGCTGGCCCCCTGGCCGTTCGCGCCTGCCCCTAGCTGGCCCCCTGGCCGTCGCGCCCGCCCCTAGCCAGCTCCCTGGCCGTCGCGCCCGCTCCTAGCTGGCCACCTGGCTGCTCGCGCCTGCTCCTAGCCGGCCCCCTGGCCGTCACGCCTGCTCCTAGCCGGCCCCCTGGCCGTCACGCCCGCTCCTAGCCGGCCCCCTGGCCGTTCGTGCCCGCCCCTAGCTGGCCCCCTGGCCGTTCGCGCCCGCCCCTAGCCGGCGCCCTGGCCGTCGCGCCCGCCCCTAGCCGGCTCCCTGGCCGTCGCGCCCGCTCCTAGCCGGCCCCCTGGCCGTTCGCGCCCGCCCCTAGCCGGCCCCCTGGCCGTTCGTGCCCGCCCCTAGCTGGCCCCCCTGGCCGTTCGCGCCCGCCCCTAGCTGCCCCCCTGGCCGTCGCGCCCGCTCCTAGCCGGCCCCCTGGCCGTTTGCGCCCGCCCCTAGCTGGCCCCCCTGGCCGTCGCGCCTGCTCCTAGCCCGCCCCCTGGCCGTTCGCCCCCGCCCCTAGCTGGCCCCCTGGCCGTTCGCGCCTGCCCCTAGCTGGCCCCCTGGCCGTCGCGCCCGCCCCTAGCCGGCTCCCTGGCCGTCGCGCCCGCTCCTAGCTGGCCACCTGGCTGCTCGCGCCTGCTCCTAGCCGGCCCCCTGGCCGTTCGCGCCCGCCCCTAGCTGGCCCCCTGGCCGTTTGCGCCTGCCCCTAGCTGGCCCCCCTGGCCGTCGCGCCTGCTCCTAGCCGGCCCCCTGGCCGTTCGCCCCCGCCCCTAGCTGGCCCCCTGGCCGTTCACGCCTGCCCCTAGCTGGCCCCCTGGCCGTTGCGCCCGCCCCTAGCCGGCTCCCTGGCCGTCGCGCCCGCTCCTAGCTGGCCACCTGGCTGCTCGCGCCTGCTCCTAGCCGGCCCCCTGGCCGTCACGCCCGCTCCTAGCCGACCCCCTGGCCGTTCGCGCCCGCCCCTAGCTGGCCCCCCCCTGGCCGTTCGTGCCCGCCCCTAGCTGGCCCCCTGGCCGTTTGCGCCCGCCCCTAGCCGGCGCCCTGGCCGTCGCGCCCGCCCCTAGCCGGCTCCCTGGCCGTCACGCCCGCTCCTAGCCGGCCCCCTGGCCGTTCGCGCCCGCCCCTAGCCGGCCCCCTGGCCGTTCGTGCCCGCCCCTAGCTGGCCCCCCTGGCCGTTCGCGCCCGCCCCTAACTGGCCCCCCTGGCCGTTCGCGCCCGCCCCTAGCTGCCCCCCTGGCCGTCGCGCCCGCTCCTAGCCGGCCACCTGGCCGTTTGCGCCCGCCCCTAGCTGGCCCCCCTGGCCGTCGCGCCTGCTCCTAGCCGGCCCCCTGGCCGTTCGCCCCCGCCCCTAGCTGGCCCCCTGGCCGTTCGCGCCTGCCCCTAGCTGGCCCACTGGCCGTCGCGCCCGCCCCTAGCCGGCTCCCTGGCCGTCGCGCCCGCTCCTAGCTGGCCACCTGGCTGCTCGCGCCTGCTCCTAGCCGACCCCCTGGCCGTCACGCCTGCTCCTAGCCGGCCCCCTGGCCGTTCGCCCCCGCCCCTAGCTGGCCCCCTGGCCGTTCGCGCCTGCCCCTAGCTGGCCCCCTGGCCGTCGCGCCCGCCCCTAGCCGGCTCCCTGGCCGTCGCGCCCGCTCCTAGCTGGCCACCTGGCTGCTCGCGCCTGCTCCTAGCCGGCCCCCTGGCCGTCACGCCCGCTCCTAGCCGGCCCCCTGGCCGTTCGCGCCCGCCCCTAGCTGGCCCCCCCCTGGCCGTTCGTGCCCGCCCCTAGCTGGCCCCCTGGCCGTTCGCGCCCGCCCCTAGCCGGCGCCCTGGCCGTCGCGCCCGCCCCTAGCCGGCTCCCTGGCCGTCGCGCCCGCTCCTAGCCGGCCCCCTGGCCGTTCGCGCCCGCCCCTAGCCGGCCCCCTGGCCGTTCGTGCCCGCCCCTAGCTGGCCCCCTGGCCGTCGCGCCCCTCCTAGCCGGCGCCCTGGCCGTTCGCGCCCGCTCCTAGCCGGCCCCCTGGCCTTTCGCGCCCGCCCCTAGCCGGCCCCCTGGCCGTTCGTGCCCGCCCCTAGCTGGCCCCCTGGCCGTCGCGCCCCTCCTAGCCGGCGCCCTGGCCGTTCGCGCCCGCTCCCAGCCGGCCCCTCGCGCCCCTGTCGCGCCCGCTCCTCACCGGTCCCTCGCGCCCGTCCCTCATCGGCCCCGCCCCCTCTTCTAGCCGGCCCCAGGTTCGCTACGCCGCCGGCCCGTCTCTGACTCGTGCCCTGTCCGTCCTTCTCCGATCTGCACTGCCCTGCACCGCTCGGAGCCGCTCTCCATCGCTTTGCACCGCACTCCACCACCCGACACCGCCCTGCACCGCACGGCACCGCACGGCACCGCACTGCACCGTCCTGCATCACACTGCACTGCCCTGCATCGCACTGCACCGCCCTGCACCGCTCAGTACCGCACCGCACCGCACTGCACCGCTCTGCATCGTTCCTGATGGCGGAGGTGCTTCACTTCGACGCTGAGGGTCAGCCGCTTGAGTTTGACGCGTGGCTGGTCGACCTCCGCCGCCATCTCACTGGTCAGCGGCAGGATGGCCACTCGCTGTCTGTCCATCTTGATGGTACGCTCCCCTGCCCTGACCCCCCTGCTGCACTGCCTGCTGACCCCTCGACTGCTGAGCGTGAGTCTGCTGCCCGCTGCTGCCCTTGCTCGCTCTGTCTGGCTGTCGAGTGACGCTTTTGCGCAGCTTGCTATCAGCCATGCCCTCCCACTGTTGAGTGCCCTTGCGTTAAGTCCGTCACGACTGCGCAGGCGTTCCTAGATGCTGTTGTCAAGCGCTATTCCACCCCGCCTGCTGCCTCCGTCGGTCGCTTGATCCTGCCGATGCTTTTCCCTGACCTTGCGTCTTTCCCCACTGTCGCTGACCTTGCCGCCCACCTGCGCACGATAGACGCAACCTGGCGCTCTGCCTGCACTGAGACCCAGCTTAGATCCCATCAGCCGCCCCTTTGCTCTGCCCTCTACTTGCTAGCCACCCGCCTCCCTGTTCTTCTTGCCACTGCCCGTGACCGCTTCCTTAGCGTCCACCCCGGTGACCTCACCCTCACCGACTTTGTCAACACCTTGTCTGCCATAGAGACCCGCCGCCGCTCTATCGCCCAGACTAGCGGTACTGTGCCGGTCCCTATCTTTCAGGGTTGTGCCCCTGCCCAGTGCACCTTCTCCGACGGTTCTGCTGCTGTGGCTGAGACTGCTGCTGCAGTCCGGGGAAGGGTCGCCGCCCCAAGGCTGGGCGCAGTGGAGGTGGTGGGGGTGCAGGTAGAGGTGGTAAAGGAGTCGGGATGCCTGGTGGTGGCGCAGACGAGGGGACTGTCCCTGGTGTCACCGAGCAGCCATCCCAGCAGCCGCAGCCGTCGCACCGGACCAGCACCGGACCTGCCCGGCGGCTCCTTCGGGCTCGCTTACAAGCTTGCACGTCCCCTCATTTTCCAGGAACCTAGTTGGTGTTGGCTGCCTCCAGGACCTTGGAGTCACCACTACGTTCCCTGGTCACGAGCGGTTTGTTGTCTGTACTGAGGCCGCCACTGGTGCTCCCCTCGCTACGTTCCCCCGGGACCCGGTGTCTAGCATGTTCACACTGGACACCGCGCCCCCCCCGGTTCGGACGCCTCCCCAGGTAGCTGTGTCCTCTCAGGTTGCAGCGGCCTGCTCGTGTCGGTCGCTTACTCACCCGACCCTCCTGTGGCACCACCGTCTAGGTCACCCTGCGCTCCTGCGTCTCCATCACATGTAACAGCACGCTCTTGTCCTAGGTCTCCCAGGATCGTTCCCCGAGTTGCCCTCCTCCCCAGCACCACCGTGCACGCCCTGTGTCGAGGGCCGGCTCTGCCATACCCCTCACTCTTCCTCGTTCCCCCCTACCACTGCACCGCTACAGACCCTGCACATGGACATCTGGGGCCCCGCCCCCGTCCATGGGCCACGTCGTGAGCGCTACTTCCTAGTGCTTGTCGACAACTACACCCGCTACACCACTGTCTCTCCCCTTGAGCAGAAGGCCGACATGCCTAACGTTCTCATCCTGTGGCTTGTCTCTGCACGTGTCCACTGTGGTCTCCCTGTCTTGCGTCTCCACTCTGACAGTGGCGGCGAGTTTGCCTCCGGCGTTCTTGGTCGTTTCTGTCATGCGGAGGGCATCACCCAGACGTTCACCTTGCCGGACTCCCCACAGCAAAATGGGTTCGCTGAGCAACGCATCAGTTTGGTCATGGAGGTGGCTCGTACCTCCATGATCCATGC